TAGTTAAAGAGTATCATGAGGGAAAAGACATACATGTGGGATAATGTTTCTGCCCACTGTGTAGTCTCTCTGGCACTATGTTTGCCTAAGCTTTTGCTAAAGCTAATAACAAATGACACCTGAGTTCATTTCTGTTCTGGGCAGCTGGTACTTTATTCAACCCAGGCACAAAGTCTCTCTGTGACCTATTTGGGAACCAGTTGCACTTGTGTGTGTATACAGTACATACATTTTTTACCGTCTCTAAACCATACATCATGGCTGGTCTCACCACCGTCCTGTAAACCTTTCCCTTCCTCTTATCTGACACTCTTCTGTCACAGATCACTCCTGACACTTTTCTCCAGCTGTTCCATCCTGCCTGTACTCTATTCTTCACCTCTCTTCCACAGTCTCCTCTGCTCTGAACAGTTGATCCTAAGTACCTAAACTCCTGCACCTTCACCACCTCTGCTCCTTGTAACCTCACTATTTCACCGTTCTCCCTTTTGTTTACACACATGTACTCTGTCTTGCTACGGCTTAAGTAATGTAACTTAAAATGTCTTTGTAAACGGGGCATTAAAACCAGCTATAGATATAATCTCAGAATACTTCGCTGATAACTGATAACAGGAAATCTCCAGGAAATCACTCATTCTGTCAGCAATTTGCTGTTGATTCTGAAATTCTTCCGTGTTTGTGTTTTCATCCTAAAATGTGTTTGGTGTATCACAGCTCGCCTACACAACTGACCAGAGTAATTTGCTGATCTACGAACAGGTTAAAAAAAGAAATGCGCAAATGTGGTGGTTTAGATCCAAGATGGAACTCCCCATCGGTTTTCTTTGTTTCCATGTTATAAATATATTTAAGCTCTTTCATTGTCAGTGGTTGTGCGCTGAGATGTTGTCACATTTTTCACGTCAATCTGGTGCAACCTCTGCCAATCAGTGTCAAGGAACAATGAGCTGAGTTTAAACAAGGGGACAACTTTTGACATTTACCACTGGTGTAAAATTAAGTGTCTTTACTAAGTTCCTCCAAGAAGTGGGGCTATAATCGACCATAAAAAGTGGAGTTGACTTATCACCGGGGGAGGGGAGTGTGCAGTGCTCAGTAGCCTTGTCCGAATTATAAATAAACATAAAGACAAGTCGTCTATTTGCATGATATTAAATCATTTTTTACCTAATTATTTTGCACTCAAAATAATTATTGTATTCTCCCAATATAAGGCGCACAGTCGTCTATTTGCATGATATTAAATCAGTTTTTACCTAATTATTTTGCACTTAAAAAAAACTTTTGTGACTTATACTCAGGTGCGACTTGTATAATAAAATATATTATTTTACATGTTTGTTATTTTCACGCTGACAGCCACAAGATGGCACTCTTGGCTCGCGTAGCAGTATCAGCTACTCCTGTAAACCACACTTTTTTTCAGCTTTTAGTCTCTTAAAAACAAAAGGCAAGTTCACCAACATTTATTAAACAAACCTTATCAAGACAAATGCAGAAACAAAATAAGTTGAAAAAATAAAGCATTTGGATGATAGAGGAAGCTTAACACTGAGGCCGGGTGCGCCTGCAGTTATAACACAATTTATCTAATTATCAGACTAAAGATTGAAAAATGCCAATTCTGATATGTTCGTATACTCAAAACTGACGGCGCAACCTGACGCGGACAAGTTAGCGTACCGTTTTTAGATGATATGCCATGTTTGTAGTCGAACTGCGATATGAAATTGATGTGCCAACTTTTCATTCAACTTTTTTTCTGTGATCTATTTTTATAAAATGCTGCCACGCTGTTAATATCTTTGACATGGTAAAAGGGGTCTGACTGTAAATGAAACTTTAAAAATTAAAAAAATATTCAGCAACCTACCAGACCTAGGCATTCCAGTGCAGTATTCAATCTGTCTCGTCTGTGGGTTGGGGTAATCCAGCGGTTCTCAATTATTTTCACTCATGCTCCCCCTTTGGGGACAGAAAAGTTTTCACGCCCTCGTGAATTTAAATACTATTGAGAATCTGATAACATGCATATTTTTTCATCTCTACAAACCACCATATGAGTTGCTGCCACCTAGTGACTGGAGGCTTGTTATGATTCAAGACATATTTCATTGGAAGCCATATCACAACCCCCCCGGCACCTCATCGCGTCCCCCCGCTATTTGAGAAGTACTGGGCTAATTGCAAATACTGCAAACAGAGGAAGACCAATCACAGTTTTGGTCGATCGGGAATGTATCGACCAATAAATTGACTGGGAGATTTACAGCCCTACTAAGAAGAACAACTTTTGACTCTTCCAAAGGTTTAACTAGGCATCTTATTTTGAATCGATCATTTTTTTTCTTTGACATTACCTGTTGTCAGTTGTGCAAATTTGCAAAAAACGGGTCTACTACTGGATGGGTTTCGCATCTTATTTTGAATCGATCATTTTTTCTGTTGTCAGTTGTCCAAATTCGCAAAAACGGGTCTACTATTGGATGGGTTTTTTTGCAACCCATACACGGGCAGTTTAAGTAAATAACTTCTTTGATACAGTAGCTGCCTGACCTTTAGAGTGGGCTTGTGGTCGGAGGAAACAAACTGTAGCTTCCTGTTAGTTCCGATGTAGAGTGGTATGAATCATGCTGTGTTTAACCTTTAGAATACTTAGAAACACAAACACACAGAGGGAGTCTTGGTTGTGCTTCTGCAATCACACTGTTCACGCACAGAGACAGGTGTTGGACTGGAAACTCCACCGCTCGTGTTTACCCAACGCGTTAAACCACAGGTGTGAACGCCTCACCACGCCACCATGGTGTTTTCAGCACAATGTGGCGCCTGCTCCTCATCATCAGCAGGGTCACGTTCTTGAACGCAGATGGACGGATGATCTGGAATCTCGACTTAGATTTAGAAACAGCAGCCAGCTCTGCATTCCTACTGCTCCTCCTCAGTCTCAGAATAGACAAGTCCCATAAAAAAATTGCTGATCGTATCAAGGATGTACTCGTGTTGAAGATAATCTGTTAAATATTATATGAAGGCTATCACCAAGGTCCCTGACAACAAATAATAAAATGATTTAAAAAAAAAAAGTGAAGTACCTTAGAGTAAAAACCCACTGTTACTTTGAAAGCCTTAAAGTACAGAATATGTTTGAAACTTCACCTTTCAGTACAAATGTGTATTTTAGATAGAGAAGTGTGACTTTTTAAATTTGAAAAATCTAAATCTGGTTCTTTTGTCTATTGGTGGCTCTTTTAAAACCGTTATTTGGACAAGCTTCTAGACATGTGTCAAGAGGTGATGATTCCAAAAGAAAACACCTTTTTTTTTTTTTATTGTTTTTCTGTGGCCTGGGACTTAATGACACACTGCCCAGGACCAGTCCAAGCTGGGACCTTAGCTCTAACCTAAAATTAAAAATGAGTTATATAAAATATTTTGCCACACTGAAGTTCAGCAGCATACTTGTTTGTTTGCTGTGAGGACACAGGAGGCTGCAGATGTTATTTTCCACAAATCATTTTCATAACAGATTGCTTTGGGTATCCCTACTCCTCCTTCATCTGCTCTTTGCCTCTCTCTTTTTTTCTTCCTCCTCTTTCGCCATTTCCTCATGGTAAACCTCTAGTCCTGACAGCTCACATACTGGAAGAGGAGGAGCAGCAGATTCAGGACAGCTGTGGGAAGTGAGATTATGAAATTGGTGTTATGTTCAGGCAAGACAGGAAGCAGGTTGGAACCCAAATGCGGCACTAGGGAGACTCTCTTCAGGTGCAGCAGGTGATTTATTTCTAGTGCGGCAAACGTCACGGACGAGCAACAACAAAACTTCATAGAAATATAACATTGATTACAGGCATGCTCTTCTCCAACCATCATGGACTTTCTCGAAACACGTGGTTTTCTAAAAACCCCATGGGCCTCTCAAAACTCATGAACTTCAACTCAAGGCCACAGACAACAAATGAACAGACACAGACCACTTGTGAACAGCTATAGAACAAACTGTGAGGGAGGGAGGGAGGGGGGTATGTATACCCAGGGCACCGAGTTAGACTAATGACGAGGTGAGTGTGATGACACTGATTGCACCATAGCAGACAGCAGGACCAGGGAACAAATAGACCTCACAATTTGGCTCCTGTTCTTTGCTGACCAGGGCCATGACACTTCATAAATGCATGCGAGCAGTTTAGGGTTCCTGAGTTAGACATTTAAGATCTACGATGATCTTGGTTTAATTTCCATCACATGTGGAAACAGCAGTGTCAGGATAGGCCTAAAATCTGGTTCAAAGCAAATAGTGCTGTCAAACACATACATTTTTTTTATTTATTTGTAGAGCTTTGGATTAATCATGATTAATTAGAAAAGGATTAAACTTGAGTTGCAGAGATTAAAAAAAAAAGAAAATTCCATTAAAATTCAATATAAATGTATTGTTTGTTTCAATGTTAAAAGCTCACTAAACCACGTTCTCTCACCAACCAATATTCTTTTTATAAAAATGCTTGTTTACTGCTTGTGTCACGTTTTGTACACATCTGTGGGAAAAGGTAACAAAGATGAAGGGAGCAGCCTTGAATAACGCGTATTGAACTGTTGTGTATTCAATCGGTCAATAGCTGGGAGC